GATACCCATTCAGGGTCCCCACCTTTTTGTCTTTGAAATCATTTGAAAAACGATAAGTGCTGTACTGGTACTGTATCTGCAAGTTACATCAAATATAAACAAATATACTAAGTACTATGCTCGTATACTAAATAAGAATTTTAGGATTATTAACTTATCCAAATCTTATAGAAATTCATTAAACTTGCTTTTTCTCAAGTTTATACTTAACTTCTCTTTTTACTTTTACTTAAGGTCAATTACTTAACCTTATAAATCATGTCTTCATAAACATCAATATGGTATTATACTTAGCATGTCATAACTCAAATGTGAAAATAACTATATTTCACATTATACTTGATTGAGTATTTAAACTTAAAACATGCTTACTTTTACCAACATCATCAACATGATTTATAACTTATCTTAATTTAATTTGATCAAATACTTAATTCATCATACATCATATTTTCCAATCTTTAGATATTGGCTTATACTAAATTTTCACTTAATTAACTTGAAAGTGAAAATAAAATCAAGCCATAATCATCTTTTACTCATAACATTTAATCATGATGTTAATATGTCATACTTAATACAATCTTTATAAAATTGTATACTCAACATATTATACCAAAACTTCATCAAATTACTCATCACTTATATGAGAATTACTCATGATCATCTCATTTAACAACTTAAACATTTCATGAATATTCTTGCATATATATACTTATCTTTACATATATGCTTTCTTATATTCATAACTTATTCATTTCTCATCTTTAAACTATGAAACTTAACAGTCATATTCTTAACTAATATTTAGACATGTCATAAAAATTTCAAAATTTTATCATGCATATATCTCGACTTAATCAAGTTTAAAGTTGCTGCTGGAAACAAGTACAAAAAATTCAACTTGCATGATAAACTTTAAAAATTCATATCTTGAGTTATAATAAACTAAATGACTTGATTCTTGATCCTATGTACTCTCCTTTTACACAAGAAATAACTATAGAAAGCATAGATTTTTCAGATTTTTCATAGCTATGTAAAAATCTCATCATAACTGAATACATATGACATATATATGAGCTGGAAATAACTTATTTTCTAGCATGCTTATATTCATATAAAACTTTAATATCTATGTCATATAAAAATATTATTAAACACTTAATATCATCTACTAAACATGTAAGCTCATTATCAAAACATGAACTTAAGCACGTAACTTTAAGATAAGTAAATTACCTCATTCTTGCTAGAATCGTAACTTAATTCTTCACTTCTAAATTCTTCACTTCTCCAAAGTTTCTACTACTCATTCTCTCTTACACTCTTATATAACTTTTGGTACTTAACTTTGGTGTGAGAACTCTGATTTTTAGGCCTCTATTTATAGACACAAATTGGAAAAACATCATAATGGAGTGAAGAAATGAACAAAATAAACAATTTAAACTTATAAACTTAATTAATCATAAACTATTTTATGATTAACTTGCATTCTTATCCAAACATAATTAATCATCAAAAATGGCCTTTAGTTATAGCCATGAGTGAGCTTTTTGGTAGATAAAACTTATTCCACCAAGTTTAATAAAATTCTCATCAATTGTTGAAAAAAAATGCTAACTTAAAGACTTAACAAAACTTTGTTGATTTTCTCATCTCATTCTCACCAATTGATGCCCAAAATTTCGTGCTTAATGTGATGTAATTGATTCCATATTTTATTGAAAAAATGTCACCATTCATCATATAAAAATCTTTGGAACAAAATAATAAAAATAATAAAAATCATTTTTTTTTATTACTTATGCATTTTCTTTCAAAATGGCTGATTTTTAACACTCTTTTACTGAAAAGTAATGCTCATATATGGTCTTGGATCATGCTAATAAACCGAGAATAATACAATTTACGGAACTCAATTCGGACTTAAAGCGAACGTTTACCGTAAAACTAAAAATTCTAAAATTTAAATTCTTAATCACATTTTTTTCTTCAATTTAATGAACATATTGCTTCTTAGGATCTAATATAATTATCTTGAAATATTCTACATTTACGGAACCACATTCGGACTTAAACCGAACGATTACCGTAAAACCGAACATTCTAAAATATTTGATTTCTATTAAAATAATTTAAATAGACTATAATGTCTAAATAAATTTTCTCACTTCTTTGAACATTTATCACTTAAATGTTCATGGATACTTAACCTTACTTCAAGACTTAACTTGTATCAACTTATGCTAAAACTCAATATTATGATTTTATCTTGATGACTTAAACACTTAGAAAAATTCTAAGTATTTAGTACTAAGGCTCGGCTATTTCTTAATTAAGTTCAACTCATGACCGAACATACTGGTTTCAGCTCACTACTTATCTTAAACGATTAATCAAAATATACTCAATTTCGATTATTCGTCATCTTATATTAATTAATCCCGTCTTATAAATCCATTTATAAAAATAAACAGACCGAAATTAATTAATTACTGAACTGGCTCGATTACTGAATAATATTGAACCGAGAATACTTTCGACTTAAAGTCGAATTTTTAACTGAATAACTTAATAACTGGCTCGAACTAGGAACGAGCATTAATAAAAATAATTAGTTCATACTTAGAATAATTACTTTTATTAATTACTGAATGGGATATTACAGGGTGCATTCTCTACGACCTCGGCTTGGGGAGAAGTACGGCTGGGGGACCGGCCTAACCTTCTCTTCGGAGCCATCTGGACCGACCTACTTACCCCTACCATCTCTGTTTTCCTTTGGTGCCTCCTTTTGCTCTGCCTACCGATTGACACTGTGATGCAGACGAGGGGGTTCTCCTTCCCCTCGCGTTGCTACTGTTGTGCTGAGACCGGCGATTTTCAGACTGAGACCTTTACCCATCTTTTTTTAGAGAGCAAGACTGTGAGGAGAGTGTGGGAGCATTACACCAGTTATATCTCCCTACCCTTCACAGATACTTTCTTTGAGCTCCTGAGTTTTTTCAGACACCGCACACACATTAGACACGTGAGCTTCCTTATTTCTTGTCTGATCTTTTGGGCCACCTGGATAGAAAGGAATAATGCGAAGCATAGGGATAACCCTTTTTTGTGTTCCCATATTATTTTGCAGGTTGACTGACATCTCTCACTCATCACCGCTTTGGGCAGACTCACCCAGAGAGACTAGACAGGCTGCACGCCACCGCACCTCCTTGCACCACCGCCGCTGGTGCCTGTCCAGCATCCATGTCCCAGAGCTGTTGTTTGGCTGAAACCCGAGTCGCCTTAGGTTAAGCTAAACACTGATGGAGCCTTTGATCGACTTACTGGAGTTGCAAGAGGTGGGGGCCTGATTAGGGATTATAGCGGCGACCTTATTGCCGCATTTCATACCCCTCTTCAGGCCTCCTCAAGCAATGACGCTGAGGTTCAGGTGCTTCAGATCGGTCTTCAGATTGCTGCTTCGATCTCCTCTCACAATTTGGATAGAGCTGGACGCTGCTGCTGTCGTCACTCTCGTGTCATCTGGCCATCAGGGCACGTGGCAGATCCAGCACCCTCTCATGCGTATCAGAACCACTCTTCAGTCGATTCGCTCTCGGATCTCGCATATCTTCCGTGAGGGGAACCGGCCAGCTGACTTCTTCGCTGGCATCGGGTTCTCCACCCCCCACAGACGCATTCTTTACCCTGACGATATCCCCCTCCGCCTTCGCACCCTCATACGGATGGACCAGATGGGATACCTTTCATTCAGATTTGTGTAGCCGGTCCTATCTTTTGGCGCATCTGCCACACTGTGATGCTGACTTTTTCGCCGGGACTCTCCCCGGACCAGGATCTGTTACTTTTGTATTTCTCGCTGCAGCTGTCAGCTGCTCCTTGTATCTTTTTCTTGTTTCTGTATTTTTTTTCTTATTTTTGGTTTTTTGTGCTTTTCGTTTGACTTGATGTATATCAGACATTGGACTTGTAGATTTGTGACTTTTCAGCCCAATTAGGGCAATTTTATATACAGGTTGGGAGTTCGGCCTTAACCCTCACCCTCCTAGGGTGTTGTTTGGAAAAAAAAAAAAATATTAGTTGACATTGTTGGCTCATTCAACGGGTAACTTTAAATTAAAATCGACTTTTTACTATATTCATATAACCACTTTAAAACAAAAATTATTGAGAGAATATATTTTATAACATGTTGATATTGAGCATGGATGATGATATATAACTTCAGATGAGGTATATATTTGAGATGAATACACAGTAGTTTCACTATCCATATAAAATGCTCGTAGTGTTACAGAGTGAAGAACACTTCCATCATTTCTAATATTGTTTTTTAATTAAAACAAAGCATATTATCAAATTGGAGATGAGAAATGTTATATTATAAATAATCTGTCATTTTATATATTATTAGACATTTCGAATAACATGTCTTTTAAGAAATATTGAAATCTTGAGTTTGTATGGAAACACTTATTAAAAATCCATTTAAGAAAAAAAGTTTATGTTTAGTGGATAGTTAAAGATATGTAGGAAATAGATACATTTAGAGGAGTCCATTTGTCAAATTGACTTTTACAAATTGCTGCCAAATAAGCACTTAGCAATAGCATATGGCAAATAA